ACTGACCCTCCCTGGGCTCAAGTTCACTCATCTATACAAGGTGATGATGTGTCCTGCTGAGCCCAATCCTCAGGGTGGGAGTTACAAGAGTCCATGGAAATACCAAGCGGGGCAGTGTGTAAAGTCAAGCACTAAGCATGGTTCCCAGCACTCTCTGCTGGGCCCTGCGGGTCTTACAGGGTGGTGAACAGCAGCCTGAGGCTTCAGGAGGGGGCTGCTCAGGTCAGGAGGCAGGGTCAGGCCACCAAGGGCTGGGGAGCAGGCTCGGAGGCAGCCGAGGCCCTCTCTCAGAGATGGGAATGTGGATGGATGGGGGAGGGAGGGAGGTGAGGGCAATGGGGAGTGGAGCTGGGGGTCCTAGGAGGGTCGGCCCCTCATCAGGTCCTCACAACTACACTGCGAGACCAGGCTTGCCCAATTTACAGATGGGGACACTGAGGCTCCGGCTGAGGAGGCTTGGGGCAGGCAGGTTGTGTGGCGCTGGTGGGGCCAGGTGGGTGTGTCTAACTGGGAGCTGCTGCCTGTGCCCCGGATTTGAGACAGCAACAATAATGACCATCACGACCATGATAGCGGCACCTCCCAGGACCCCGGCCATAGCCGCAGTGATGAAGACAGCACAGCATGTGGCAGGAACGTGGCGACGTTCTCGGGCCTGGCTTAACCCCGGGGGCATAGTAGCTCCTCTCGTTGGCCCCTCCACTGCTTGCTCCTTTAGCCTGAGGTGGGTCCTGGTGGTGCAGAAGTGAGACCTGGGCTGTCAGTGTGAGGGGACCAGCGCCCACCACCTGAGGAGAGAGAGGGCTCAGCCCAGACCCTGTCCCAGACCCCCAGTGCTGATACTCCTGCTGCATCCCTTGCACGGGATTTGCTGAGCAGCTAATATGTGCTGGGTCCCTGAGTCGGGCTGCAGTTCTGGCCGTGGGAGCTGCACACCACTGCACAACTGACAAGGGCGGGGAGTCTGGCAGGTGGACGAAAGTCCAGGGAGTGAGGTCAGGTCAGGGATTGGTGGGAGGGCCTGGCTGGGCTGAATACAGGCGGGAGTGTGTGAGTGTGTGTGAATGTGTGTGTGTGTGTGTGTAGGGGGTAGTGCTGCCTCCTGTCGCACTGTGAACTGAGTGTGCAACTGTGCAAGGAGGGCCAAGGTGCTTAGAGAGGCTCTCTACGCCTGGGAGGAAAACCCAGGACCTCTGTGGTGCGAAGGAGACACTGTTAGATGAAGAAGGCACCTTGTCGCAGTTGCTGTGTCCCTGGGGTGCCTGCTGGGTCATATTGGGCTCTGGGCCCTCAGCGGTTGTCCTGACTACTTTCAGGAGGAAATGACGGGCAGAGTCTTGGGGTCACCGGAGAAGACAGTCCAGAGAATCTGAGCAAGAAACTTCACAGTCTGAGTTCATTATCTACTAAGTGGAGGGAAAGCCCCGCTTCTCCATGAAATTAAATGACGGCGGCTGAGCTTTGTGACCATTGCACCCCTCTCGATGCCCCTGCTGGCTCCTAACTCAGTTATAAATCCCACAGGCGGGGAACGGCACAATGCCCTACCTGCCTGGCCATGCGTTTCGGCAGCACCTGGCGTTTGCTCGGCCAGCTGGCAGGAAAATCACATTTCTAGCGATTGATGGAGTGCGTGTCTGTGGGGACCAAGATGCGGGGACTGCGTGGGGCCGAGCCACTGCCGCCAGACCCTTCAATACTGCTGTGCGGTGGCCTGGGGGCTGCCTCGGGCCCCTCACCCACCAAACCCAAGGGGTTTCTGAGAGGGGAGGCTGCGCTGGCCTCATCTGGGGAGCCGAGGGCCTTTAGGCTGGACCCAGCAGTCGCCCAGCTTACTCCTCTGCCCCAGCTCTGGGATCTGCTCCCCGCCCACCACGGGCCCTCCCGCTGCAGAGCACCCATCAGAACCGCTGCGGCAGTCAGGGTGGGAGCCAGGGACAGGGAACTCCTGGGCACTGAGGCAGTCCTGTCTCCCAGCACAGCTGCCCCTTGCCTCCACCTCCCCTGGCATCGCCTGCCTGCCCTGTCCTGGCATTGCCTTGGCCTCCTGCCTCTGTCCCCACTGAGGTGGTCCTTGACCCACTGCTTGGGTCCCACTAAGCCTCCCCAGAAGTGGCTGAGCCTCATTAGGAGACTCCAGGAGCTCAGGGGATGAGGGTGTGTCTGCAGCTGTCTTCCTCCTGCCGCCCCTGAGGAGCTGGAGAAGCTGGAGTCATTCGCAGGAGAAAGAGCTGGGGTGGGCAGGGGAGAAAGAGAGAGAAGCCACAGAGGCTGGGCTCACAGACTTCTGGAGGTGAAAGCAGAAGTGAAGAGAGATTTGGGGAGCAGCGGCACTCAGCAGGAGGCTCCTGAGAGGGCTGTGAGGGGAAGAGAAGCCTTTCCAGGGGCTGATGAGCATTCAAGAACCTCCCTGGCCCACACTCCTTGCCTGGACATTCTCCAACGTGACTGAGAAGAGCCGCAGAGAGCGCTTGTAATGCCTGTTTGGGTGCCAAGCAGTGTTCCACTGACTGGGACACCACATGGAGGCTGGGCCGCCTGGGGCCAGGGACCTAGTCCGGTTACAGTCAGAGCTGTAATGTTGGAGATGTCCTGGGTCACACAGCCGGGAGGACCCTGGAGTGGCAGAAAAGGAGGCTCCTCCCTGATCTCCAGATCAAATCCCCTCTCACTTTGGTTCCTCAATTGGTAAAACTGAAGCCCAAAAAGGAAGCGCCTCACGCAGAGTCACGCTGCGGGTCAAAGAGCACAGCAGGAGTGGGACGGCGCCCGTGAAGCCAGCCAGGGACTGGTTATTCCCTTGTCCTGCACCACACCCCTGTGGGTTCTGACAACCCTTTTTCACACTCATAAGGTGATGGGAACACCTGCCTGAGCTTGCACTCAGGACAGTCAGGAAAGACGGGGAGCCTCTGAGCTCCCAAAGGAAATGTGTCCCACCTGGACTTGGAGCTCAGCCGCCCACTCAGGCTCCGTGCAGTCCCTGCAGGCTTGGCAAACTCTCTGCATCCTGATGGCATAGCACAGTGCCTGGCACATAGCAGGTGCATAATGTGCGCTTGTTGGTGACAAGCAATATGGAACAGGGGTAGGGTGGGAACCACTGCTGAGACAGGCAAAAGTGTTCTGGGCAATATGAGATGGGGGAGCTGTTAGCAGCAAGCACGGTGACACAGGAAATGGAGGACCCTGAGGCCGAGGCAGGAAAATAGCCCCCAGGTGCTGAGTGCAGGGTGCTCACGACATCCACCATCCTCTTGGCAAGTGTTCGGGGAGGTGTGAGCTATTTATTCCAAATGCACGTGCACGCAAAAGGTGTGGGAGTGGGGGAGGACCACCGTTTTAAATGGAAGATTCTCAGTTATCAAAAAGCTTGGCTCTTATAGACACTTTCCAGTGCCTCCCAAGCTGTGGTGTCTACAAGCATCACCCTCAGAGAGGCCTGGTCAGTAGGCTCTGGGTCTTCAGTTTGGCAAACCCTCGAGATGTGTCTGTTGCAAGGGGTTCACATTTCAGAACAGCCCATTGTTGGTTCCTGCCTGGAGTCCCCACTGCTCAAGGGTGGAGGCTGGCTGCTTCTCTACCCATCACCTCCACATTCCTCAGAGCCTGGCACAGACCCCTGCCCCAGCACCCACTCAGCCAGCATTTGTCAAACGGAGCCAAACAGGGCTGTGTCTTTGTCTCCTGTGTGATGGATGGCGTCATTATTCGATCGATAAGCACAAGCTGATTTATGCATATCTTATTAATTATTTAAGGCACTCATTATTGAAAAGGTCACTACCTGCTAGCTATGTGAACGATCACTAACTCGCTCGGTTGCTGCCTCCAAAGAGGAGGCAGCAAGGGTTAACTGAGGACCTACTATGTGCCAGGTAAGGGCACAGTTAACCCTTGGGAGGGGGCAGTCTTACCCACTCCTCCTTCACGAGGATTGGAAGGTTAAGAGGGTGAAATCTCGTGCCTGAAGTCAAGGAGCAGGTAAATGGCGGAGCCAGGACTCAGACCCAGGTCAGATTGCCTGCAGAGCTCCTGGACATGAACCCAGGGGTCACTGTGTGGCAAACTCCTGCACCCCTCCAGCAGGGGGATTCTGGGATGGATCTTACAACCCGGGTTTGGTATCATGATGTCCCTGGATGATGTGCCCTGAGCCCTGTGTGCCCATGGCTGCAGATCAGCCCTCACAGAGCGTCTGAACCTCTCACTCTACCCCTTGACCTGGGAATCGACCCTCCGTCTGGCTCCTGTCCTTGGTGCTAGCCAGTCTCCCAGGGAATTCCTGCTCCAAACGCATAGACCCTGCCTCTCCCCTTCCAACTCTAGATGCTGCACTACCCAGGGCCGCCTGGGGTTAGGTCAGGCCCATTCCCACCATACTGGAACTGGGCGGAAATGGGAATTGCTGTAGACAAGCTCAGATCTGAACACAACCCTGGAGCAGCCACCCCACAAGACCAGCCCTGGAGATGCCACCTCCCTGGCTGGCTTCCTTCCTTCCTTCCTTCCTGAACAGCCTGCCTGAGTCAGCGCTAGTACCCCTCATGCCACACAAGGCATGTACGTATAAGGAACCAAGTAACATTTGTATTTTCTAACCTCATGCTGAAAAATCTGCCTGGACAGACTGATTTGCTTCCTTTGGCCAGATTTACAACTCAGAAAGGCATCCGGTTTTCCCCTTTGCCTTGACAACTAGGAAACGCAAAACTCCACTCCATGTTTAGTGTTTCCATCTCTCACACTGGGCTCTAAGTGCAACAAGCTTGCAAGCTTTGCTTCTAAGCTCTGTTTCCACCTCTCATTTTGACTTTCCTGCCCAGGCATGTGTTGTAGGCTACCCATGACAGTTTGAAATTTTTCTTGGCAAACAGCAAGATAAGCAAACAATCGGGTACCTAATGAGCCAAACACTATGGCGAGAATGATGGCATATTCTCCAAGCGCTCCAAAGACAATCATCCAAATCAGTCTGGGTCTCTATTGCAGCCACTCACCAGGCAGACGAACTCTGGAAGGTCATCAGCGGTGGGCTGTGAGCATCTCCCCGCAGCGTGTGCACGGCCTGGGGGGCTTGCGGCAGTGGGCCTGGGGGAGGCTGCGGCTGTGGGGCCCGCTGCCCTGGCCGAGGGGCCCGAGCAGGGTTCCCCCACCGCCGGGGGTCCTGTTTCATCCATCGTCCCTGGATGCCCCACCGTGCCAGGTAGACCTTGCAGATGTCGTAGTTCATTGCCGAGTAATACAAAAGGTCCAGAACCAGTAGCATCAACACGAAAAAGCCATAGATCCACACTCCCAACAAGGCGGTGTAATTGCTGTGAACAAACAGAGAGGGAGTGAGTGAGGAGAGGGGAGCAGCCCAGCTCGGTCCAGCTTCATCAGTGGGGCTGATTAGAGAACGTGGCCTGGGGGCTATGTTGTGGTCCCAGGGAGGAGGGTACTGAGCCCCTCTGGAGGGCAAGGCCTTGGCTCCCTCTCCTCTGCCTGCCCTGTTCGCCTCCTTCCCTGGAATCCACTGCCTGGTCCCCACCTGAGCATCCTGCAGGACCCCTAGCCCTTGGGCTGGGAACCCTGTGGGTCCCACAGAATCAGGTACTTTGGGGAGAATTCTGAGTTGGCATCTGGGGCTCCCAGGACATGATAGCCTCTTCCTTTACCTGGTGCGGTTTTGGCCTGCCCTCTCCCTCCTTCCTGCAGGTGCCCCTGCTCACCACCCCCCACCCCACCTTTGTCTACATTGTTCCTGACACCCAGGATGCTCTCACTGCCTCACCCCTGATGTGAGGATGGAGGTCCTCCCCATCCTGCTGGACCAAGGGCAGAGGCATCAGGTTCTGCCCTCCAGACCCTCTCCCAGCCTCCCCTAGGGGTCCCCTTCACTCCACACAACCAGGCTGTACATGGCTGGGGGTGTCCGGGCCCCATGACCTCACTTCTCTTATTCATTTGCACAACATTTCCCCACCGAGGGCTGCTCTGCCTTCCTCAGGCAGAGGTGGCCAATGTTACCGTTGGGTTTGGAAGCCCGCTGTGAAGCCTGGCTCTCCCGGCATCCACCGACTCCACCGTAGAGACGGTCTGCACTCCCAGCAACCGACCTTTGTATGGGCTGTGCCTTCTTTCCCTGCCCCCTTCCTCCCCTGCCTACCTCCCACCGGCCCTTTGTCGAAGATCACTTCCTCCAGGGAGTCTTCCGGACACCCTGACCCTCCTACACGGCTGGGTCAAGCCTGTCTTCTGGTCCACAGCCCTGAGCTCCCCTCAAACCCAGCTCCTGTCACCCAGAGCCACATCTGTCTTCCACACCCTTCCCCAGGGCCAGGGACCGAGTCTCCCCCACTGTGTGCCCAGGGTGGATGGTGTCCTGGGCTTGCTGCTACAGCTGGGGCTGCTGAGCCCTAACAGTGTGTGCCAGGGGCTGTGACTGCCTGAAGTCACCGATCCATTAATCACTCCGGTGCCGCCTCCGTCTGCTCCCTGCTGCAGGCATGTGTTTGGTGGGTGTGCGCTTCTGGTGTCGAGGAGGTATGAACGGAGCCAGTGTCCGGCCTGCACACGCCGCCGCTGCACATCCCCAGGGAGAGACTCACCTGGCTCCCACCCAGATGGGGGTCCTGGGGGCAGCAGATCCTTTAAGATCCTGTTTGAGGCTGGGGGAATGGGCCAACCCGAAGCCTGGAGGCCTGGTTCTAATTCTTCCTCTGCCTGGTTTGCTGTGTGGCCTGGGAAAACCCTTGCCTGTCTCTGGGCCTGGAGGAGATGAGCATTAGGCCTCTCCCAGTCTCACCTTCCAGGCTCCAGATCTCCCCAGGCTTAGGTCAGCCCCGGGTGCCAGCAGCGGCCTCTGTAGGAAGATGGGGGCTGCTTCCCTTGGACTCCTCTGGCTCCGACCAGGGCTGAATCCAGGGCTGGGGAACTCGCTTTCACTCTCTGCCTGGAATCCTTCTCTCCCCTCACTTGGCCAAGCTCTTGGCCTGAAGATGCTGCTCGGGTGCCTGGGAGCCTCTGGATGGGGGGCCTCTGCCTGTCCTGAGCACTTCCCATGAGCAACCGCAGGCTGGTACTTGGGCTTTGTCGCTGTAATCCCACAGCTCCCGGTCACTGTGGGTCCTTGCTGTCTCCCTGCCCCCACCTCCCAGCCCCCACCGCCATGAAACCTGCATCAGACTGATGGGCTCGGTCATGCTAAGGTGTAAATGACTGACAGCCAGGCCCCAGCAGCCTTATGTTAAAGAGAGTCTGTTAAAGAGAGTCTAGCTTTTCCTGGAGGCCTCTGGATATGGAATTCCTTCCAGGAATTCCAGGAAAAAGAGGCCTGCGGCCCCATCCAGCATGCTGGGGCAGGCATCCCCAGGGTAGATGTCCCTGCAGACCGCGGTCTGAGGAGGCAGGCCTGGTTCCAGTCCCCAGGCCCTCCTGCTTTCCCCAGCAGCCTCCCTCCTGCAGCCCCCACAGAACTGCTCTAACTGCCAGCTTTTTCTTCAGTGGTTCCCATGGCAGCAGCCACGGGGGCTGAGGGAGGAGACGGGGAAAAGGGAGGCAGGGCAGCTGTGTGCAGATGCTGTCCACAGAAGGGGTCCAGGATGCCAGCTGGGGTTGTGGCTGGGCCACAGGCTGGGCCTTGAACCACCGGGCCAAGAAATAATAGTACCAGAAGTGACAGTGGACACTTGTTCCCCCACCTGCTTCCCACGTTAGCCCTTTTAATGCTCACACAACCACGGGAGGAAGGAGTTTTTTTCATCGTTGTCATCCCTGCTTTACAGATGGAAAACTGAGGCTCGGTGGAATTAAGAGACTTGCCTAACAGCTCACAGCCATTAAGGGGCAGAACCAGAATTTGAACTCAGCAGCTGAGCTCTAGAGTTGCGCTCCTAACCACTACAACGCACTGCCTTGACTGCGGCCACCCAGGTTCTCAGGTACAAAAGCTGCTCCAGGGGCTGGGCACGGTGGCTCACACCTGTAATCCCAGCACTTTGGGATTTGGTGATGAGAACACCTTCCTCAGCTTGCACTCAGGACAGCTTGCACTCAGGACAGCTTGCACTCAGCCAGCCTCCACCCTTGAGCATTGGGGGCTCCAGAGAGCTACAGACAATAAAATGTCTGTTGGCAGGACCCAACAGTGGGCTGTTCTGAAATGTGACCCCTTGCAACAGACACATCTTGAGGGTTTGCCAAACTGAAGACCCAGAGCCTACTGACCAGGCCTCTCTGAGAGTGATGCTTGTAGACACCACAGCTCGGGAGGCACTGGAAAATGTCTTTAAGAGCCAAGCTTTTTGATAGTTGAGAATCTTCCATTTAAAACGGTGGTCCTCCCCCACCGCCGAGGCGGGCGGATCACAAGGTCAGGCGATCGAGACCATCCTGGCTAACATGATGAAACCCCATCTCTACTAAAAATACAAAAAAAAAGTAGCCAGGCATGGTGGCGGGCACCTGTAATCCCAGCTACTTGGGAGGCTGAGGCAGGAGAATGTCATGAATCCCAGAGGCAGAGCCTGCAGTGAGCTGAGATTGCGCCACTGCACCCCAGCCTGGGTGACAGAGCGAGACTCCATCTCAAAAAAAAAAAAAGAAAGAAAAGCTGCTCCAGCCCAACAGCACTCCTGCCTGGAGGCCTTTGTCCATGCCGCACCTCTGTCCAGAACCTCTGCCTACTTCCTGCACACCCAGCTGGCCCTGGCACTGTGTCTTAGCCCAGATATCACCTCCTCCAGGAAGCCTTCCTTGATGCCCTGTGTCTGTCCAACCCCTACCCTGCATTCTCAAAGCCACTGGATTTCCCAGAACACACTGTTGTCTTTGTTGTTTTGTAGGACTGTCTGCCCCTGCAGATTGGGAAGGCCCTGAGGGTGGGGTTTGGGTTCAAATCGTCTTTATGAGCCCAGCACTCAGCCTTAGGCTGTGAATACTGACACCAACACGTATTGAGAGCTGAGTATGGGCTGGTGACAGTGGCTGCTTTGATACTAACTTCCCTGGAGTTTATAGGCTGCATGTCTGTGCGCTGGCAGCTAATAGAAACACTGGCCATTGTTATGCACCAGTGCCCTTTGCTTCTGAATCTGTGCAATGGTGCCATGAGGGAGGAGCTAGTATCCCCATGTCACACATGAGTAAATGAGACCCAGAGAGGCAAAGTCACTGCCAAAGGCCACACAGCTGGTGCGTGGCAGCGCTGGGAGCTGGACCCAGGGTCCTCTGACTTCAAGTAAGCTGATCTTGGGGGAATTCCATGGTCAAATCTAGGACAGATGTCCAGAGAGGGGTCCCCTGCACCTGCGTGGTGTGCCCGCTTGTCCTGGCCTACCCTCTACCAGGAACTGAGAGCGAGTCCCCGTCCTCCCTCCTCGGGGCATCCTGCAGATCAGTGTGTCATTGTCATCGTGTGTGTGGTGTGTGTGTGTACTGCCGGGCTCCCAGACTCTGCAGCCAGCTCGCTGGAATTGACACATGACATGACCTCCGGCCCTCCCAGCTCATCCTCGCTGTCAGGGAAGGGAGGGGACTGCCTGCAGGAGGTACTGCCTTTGCTGACTCGCCCTCCCTTGTGAGGTGATTACCCTAGAGGTGGCAGGCGGGGACACCCGGGCCATGGTCACCATGCTGAAACCGCTCCCCTGGCCTGCCACGGCTGGCCCTCCCCATGGTCAGCCAGCTGGGAAGATTCAGGTCTTTACAAAACTTTCATAAATGTAATGAAAAATATGTGACCTGGAAATTAATTCCATCCAGATGCAGGGGTCTTTGTTATGTGGGTGTGTGTTTTGTAAATGGCAGAAGATAAAAAACCAAAGGCTGTTTTATGGAGCAAGATGTGAAGGCAGCCAAAGCCGCAGATCGCAATTTTTTCAGTGTATTTTGGGATATTTACTGATTCAAATTCTTTTGGTGTTTCCCAAGCAGTAAACAAAACCTTCTCTGATGGAGGAATCTCACTGAACGTCTTCCCGGGGCACAGGAGCAGATCCGTCAGCAGGAAGAGCAGCTGCAGCCAGTGTGGGGATGGAAGTCCCCGTCACCACCCCACCAGGCAGTCACACTTGAGGGTGGAGGAGGAGAGTTCCTGAGGCCAGCAGGCCAGAACGAGACGTCGGCACAGCTGGAAGATGGCCGATGGCCTCTCTGCCAGCCTCATCTAAAAAATGGGAGTGTGGTGGTGCTGGTGCAGGGTGGCTCACGCTGTAATCTCAGCAACTTTGGGAGGCCGAGGCGGGGTGGGATCACTGAGGTCGCAGGAGTTCGAGACAGGCCGGACTTTTTTGGTTTTTTTTTTTTTTTTTTTTAAAAAATATGGAGAAAACCG